ATGTTTGAGAGCCAGATGGGGAGCAAAGGATGCTGAAAAGGAGAAGCTAGAGAGGCAGGGAGGTAAAACAGAGGGGTGCTGCCTGGAAACCAGTGGGCACCAGCGTCACATGCTGCTAAGACAGCCAGTCAGTCGAGGACTGCAAAACGGCCTGTAGACTTTTAAAATGACCTCACAAGTGACCCTATGCAGGCCAGTTTCCTGAGACTGGTAGATAAGGGCAAAGGGACAATTGATAGATTTATAATGAAACTTAGTATGACTTCTCATTTTTCACTATTCATGGAAAAAAAATTCATCCTTTGTCACACTGCGTTTCCTGATTTGGGGTACAGGAAAATGCAGTCACTGCAGAAAGACGTCAGATGTAACCTGGCTGTGGGGTCTTTGGCAAGCCACTTGCTTCCCTTCTTGGGGCCTCAGTTTCCTCATCTATAGACAAAGGTATTGGAAGAGATATACTCTAAGGTTTTCTCCCAGGTCCAAAATTAGATTCTTCTCCATTCCAGATGGTTTTGGGGGATGCTGGTGTTGATAGGGAAGGTGAAACAGGACTCAGGCACAGGAAAAGAGAGCCCCCCCCCCCTTAACTGCTGTAGTCCCCTCATGGGGCTTGTTCCCTGTCAGTCTTATTTGCTCCCCAGTCCTCCAAGGTGGCTGTTGGAGCCAATGATGAGAAACACATGTTTCTGGGCAGCCTGGTGTTGCACAGTGCTGCCATGGGGAGGGCAAAAAAGAAAGGGGGAAAAAAAAGAGAAAGGAAGGAAAGAAAAGAGCTTTGGTATTCTCAGCCTCCACAGACAATTCCCCCATTGATGTGCTGTGAGTCACGGCGGGCCGCCAGGCCATCGTGGTTTCTGAATCACTTCCTCCAAGAGGGGCTCTCCACTTGTTCCCGGGCTGCCTTTGGCCAGGGCGGGAATGCAGTGGGCCCTTGGGAGCACCTCCGACTGCTTTCCTCTTTGCTAGAGCTCCAGCAGCAGAGGCAGAAGTGCCAGGAAGCAAGGATGGGGGCCTCAATGGAAGGTGGCAGAGAAGCAGGTTGAATCTGCTTGTTCCAATTGGTGGACCCTCTTACAGTGCTAAAACTCATGCCTTCCTCTCTGGGTAGAGATGGAAGTGAAGCAAAAACACACATTAAAGGCCACACTTTTCTCCAACAGGCACCAGACTCAGCCAGATCTAGATTTTCCATCTTCTCTACCTTGACTTTCTGGCTATGTGGACAAGGCTGACCCCTTTTGGGCAGAAGTAGATGTAAAGTTGATCCTGGCCATTCCCCCAACAACTCACATTAGGATATCTTGGACTGCATCTCTTGGTCTCCCATCCTTTTAATTTCCATTTTTGAGGACAAGGATATTAATGGCCCCAAATGCCCTCACTAAGGGTGATGGTAGTGAAGTGAGAGTCTGTTTTAAGTTCTTGCTTAGGATAAGCTTCATTCATTCAACAGAGGTTTGTCTTCATTCTGAGCCAGATTCTGTGTAAGCATCAAGTGTTCTTAGAGGAAATGGACCTGGTCCTAGCCATACGGAAGATAAAGACTGATAAGTCAGCAATCCAAATTCAATATGGCAGGTGCCCTGGTGGAGGGACCCAGAGGAGATCATCAAACACAAATTTAAGGATGGGGAAGCCCAGGGAAGACATCCAGAAAGATCTTCTGGATTGAATAAGGTGGCATTTGGTGTCATTTTCCTTTGTTCAGCAACCATGGCTCCCCGTCCCCCCAGGGGACTTTCCAGAAGGTCAATACTTTGAACACTGTAGATGAGACCTATGCTCAGTCCTTATAAGAGATGAAGTGATCTCTCTCCTCCACATCAATAGAGGGCACTGTTACCCAGTGGCGTTAGCTCTTTGGGAATTTACTAGAATGCCGCCATCTTGTGGGCTCACTGAGCCATGTTCATTTTACAACTCTACTGCTCCTGGGGCACTTATCAGAGATGGGTTGACCTGGAAGCAATACCCAGATGAAACAGGGTCTGGCATGGCTACTTATCTGATTGTAAGCAAGACCTTTTAAGAACTCCCTTTGTCCATATTTAGCTGGCTGGTCTCCCCTTAGGAAGGTGGTTTTGGATAAAAGCTTTTGTAGAAGAGACACCATATCTTAACCTTCTCTATTTCTCTCTTATCATCTACAACAAGATCAGGAAAGTAATAGGTGCTGGGCACATAGATGTTAAATGGAATAAATTACTGTGAACAATCATCCAGAATGATAGCAAGGGCTGTCTCTGTCTTGTACCACTGTGTACCTAGCACCTAGCACAGTGCCTGGCCCTACAAAAATATGTTGAACAAATGAGTGAAATCAGACACTTGAAAGTAAAGTTCCACAAACAGCAAACATTGTTTGCTAGAGGAGAATAGAGATACTGTCTACATTGTCTGATAGAACCTCCTTTTTCTTGGGTGCATCACAGAAAGATACAATGCTTTGACCAAGGTCACACAGCTAGTGTCAGAGCTGGGACTGGTGAGCATGTCAACTGACTTGCCACTATGGTTGCCTGGCAGGCTCAGCCCATTCTTACATGAGGAAGAAAGTAAAGCAGCACATATGTCTAGACCAGGCACTTGTCTAGAGTTATACCTGGTAGAAGAATTTTCCAGTGAGAATTCTTGAAATACTTTAAAAGGACTCATACTAGCCATGCTTCTGGGGGAATAAGGAATCCTAGTGTGCTGGATATAAAGGTACAAGATGTCTGGCAATCCAAGGAATATAGAAACAGCTAAAACACAGTCACTGGACACAGAAGGTGCCACAGCCATATGGGCCATGTGGGTCCCTTGCCTTCCAGGAGAGCTTGTGAAATAACATAACCCACACCCTGATAGTATGTGAACTTGGACTTCAAGGTAGGTGGTGGTCACCCAGATGGAAAGAGCATCCTAGCCCACACATAAGAGTAAAGAATATGGCTATCTCCCAACATACCCCCATGACCTAATTCTCTGAAGTTCACCCTCTGCCCAGTGCCACACTGATTTTTCACCCTGCTTAGACATTGGTGCCCCCCCCACTTGCCAATATTATAGAATCCAAATATCTTTGCCTTCCTTTATCATCTGGCCCCATTCCACCCCCCTAGACATATGTTTCCTCCCTAACTGCCTAGCCCTTAATGGCTTGATCACACTGTCGGTCTGTCTTGAGTGGATTCCAGTCCTAGACTCACCACTCATTATCACTGTGACCTTAAGGAAATCACTTAACTCTCTGTGTATCCATTTCCTTATCTGTAAAATGGAAATCCCAATAGCATCTGCCAGACTGGGTCATTGTGAGGACCAATTGAGTTCAGCATGTGAAGTCTCTAAATAGTGCCTAGCACATGTGTGTTGTCAGTAAGTATATGTTAGGAATAGTTACTACTACTACCACTAAATCCACCGCACTTCCTCATGGTCCCTATCCCTTTGCACATTCTACTCCCTGTGCCTGAAAGGTCTTTCCCTACCTTGTCCCTCAGATGAACAACATCTCATCCTTCAAGAACCAGCTCAATGGCCCCTTTGTTAGCCACAGATGAAGTTAACTTCACCCTCATCATTGTATACACCCTACTGCATGTTCATCAGAAATTCCATTGACACCTCGAAACTCCGATTGTTCACACGTGGTAATGGCGCCTGTGGATCATGATGCCTCATGGATCAGATGGGTAACTCCATAGTCATCCTACAGGCTGTGCAAATTACAAAGCCCTTGACAAAGCATGAGAGATATATGTTTCTGTAATTTCAGAACGGATGTCAGCTGCCCTGCTTCTGACCTGGCGGGGCAGGACCAGCCTGTCCCTCACTGCAGTGACCGAAGCCCCAGCTTCTAGCAGTGCCCTCTCCCTCTGCAGCTTCCTCTGCAGTCCTGCTCACCCACACCTGCTTCTCAGGCACTGGCAGCTCCTTGCCTACCTGTCCAGGAAGCCCAACACGCTCCTCACCCACCTCCCCACTCTGGTTTCTCCCAGCCTCTGGGAGCCACCCTGACTGCCCTTCTCTCTCCAGTAAGGCTCTGCCTTCACTTTAAAAAGTAAATCCGTGGCACCTGGGTGGCTCAGTCAGTTAAGCGTCCAACTTAGGCTCAGATCATGATCTCACAGTTTATGGGTTTGAGCCGCATATCAGGCTCTGCTGACAGCTCAGAGCGTGGAGCCTGCTTCAGATTCGATGTCTCCATCTCTTTCTGCCCCTCCCCTGCTCACATTTGCTCTCTCTCTCTCACTCTCTCTCTTGCTCTCTCTCTCTCAAAAATAAACATTAAAAAATTTTTAAATAAAAAGTAAATTCTATTGTGTTTACCATAATGATGAAAAGGTCCCCTCCTGGCTCGCCACTCTCTCTCCCTTTTTCCTCCCTTCTCCCCCGCAGCTTGCTTTAATGTCCTCAAATCCAATTCCTTCATGCACTCATCAAGCATTGTGTGAGGCACTTACTCTCTGCAAGGAATTGTGGGAGATTCAGCGATGAATAGATGCAAACACTGGACTTGGAGAGGGAAGGGGGTGGCAGACGTGTTGAGGGTCTGCACCTTGACAACACAATGTCAGATACTTAGGTTATTACCCTGAATTTGCACCCCTTGCGGTAGCTTCTATTATATAATCCCCACTTCACTGCGGACACAGCTGAGATTAGGGAATTTACCTGAAGTTAGTAAATTTTATCTCTGCCTACGCACTGGCAGAGAAAAAATTTTAAACCTGCATCATTTCCCTAAACCATACAGCAGATAGCACAGTAAGAGAGATGCATGTGATACACTGGTAAGTGGGATACAGAGCCCAATGATAAGCATTCTGAAGGCAGTGTCAGGCCAGATGCCGTCTTTGTCAACTGTCATCACACATGCCCAAGACTGCAGAATGTCTCCTGTGTTCTTTAATCCCAAACTTGCTGGGGTGAACTAAAGACCTGTCATGTGAGTTGTATGATGTCTCTCTGTTCCCTAAACCAGGCACCAGGAGACTGGGTGGCACAAAGAATGTTACAGCAAAAACTTACAAAGAATGCATTACTTGTGAGAGTTTCATCTTTATGTGCACTAACTCAGTGCAACAACCTGACGAAGTTAGTATTGTTGTTATCATCATTTCAGTGGTAAAGAAACAGGCACAGAGAATGAAGGAACATGCCTAAGATTACACAGCTAGAAGTGGCTGAGCTGGGATTTGAGCCCAGAGAGGCTGGCTTTGGAGTTTGGGATCTTAGTGACTTCACTGTACTGCCTCTTAATGATTTAAAATGCAAATACCCTATGGGCAAGGCACTTGCTGTGTGCTGGACACCGTGCTAGATGTGGGGTATACAGTGGCAAACAATTATGCATGCTCCTTGCCCTTAAAGTAGCCCAACTTCTGAAGGGGAAACTAGCTAGCTATAAACTGGCAACTTTAATATAGTTCTGCCAGTGTCCTGGATGCCAAGGGGTGCAAGGTTAGTAGTGGGCTCTAAATTCTGCCCAAGTTAGAATCTCTGTTCCTCCACTTCCCAGCTGTGTGATCTTGAGCATGTTAACAAACGTCTCTGTGTCTCTATAATGTCAGCATCTATAACTCAGAGCATCAGTTTTAGAAGGATTAAATGATATAATTTGGAGACATGGGTTACTCTAGTGTGACATACTGCTTAGGTCTGATTTCTGATTCCATCAATTCCTAGCTCTGTGACCTTGAGCACATTACTTCTCTGTGCCCCAGTTCCCTCACCTATAGAGTGGGAACAATAGTATCTACCTCACAGGGTCTACTATAGAATGAGTTAATACAAAACATGTAATCTGTGAGCACTCATTGTAAAATAACTGTCCACCCAGGTATCACCAAGTGTTACCACTAAATACACCCTGCTTCCTCATGCTTCCATCTCTTTGCACATGCTGTTCCCTATACTTGGAATGCCCATCCCCACCTTCTCTCTCAAATGGACAAAGGCTCATTCTTCAAGGTCCAGCTCAATGTCCCCCTGCGCTGCGTTTCATAGCCCTGCAGGGGAAGTTGATTACCTCACCTTTGTACATACACCTAGTTTCCACCACCCTCCCTTGTGGCTATCAAAGAGATGGGGCAAAATTCTGAGGAGTCTGCAACACTTTATTTTTTTTTTACTTCCACATTGAATTGTGTTGCTTAGGATAACAGAGGACTGTTGGTGGACTCTAAAGTTTAGTAATGAGCTTAAAAATTAGATGTCATATGAAGGAGTTGTCAGAAGCTGGCCCCAAATATTGTGCCTACCTATTACTGAATATGCAGTTTAATCCACATTTAATATTACCATTAGTCTACCATGTAATGTTATATTGGCTAATACTCTAAAGCATGTTGTTTTCTAACACAACTCATGTGTATTCTGGTTGGATGTATTTTGTTTGTTCCTGAGACCCTGAAGAAAGAATTAAAACAGGTATTTAGTAGGAACTGAGAGTCTTAAAATGAATCCTACATTCTTTCATATATTCATGCTTTTGCATCCATTCATTCACAAGGATTTTTTATTTATTATTTCTATAACACCAGGTGCTGTAAAGCACCTTTTCTGACCATTATATATCAGGCTGACAGGCTTTAGCTACACTCAGATGTACAAAGGAAATGTTCATTCTTTATTTTCTAGAATTTCCTAGGCATCCTCACCCCACAGATCATGGAAAAACTTAAGACTTGTCAATTAATAATATCTCTGCCTATTGTGGTTTCAATAGTCTCCTTTCAGTTTATGGGTTCAGTCTATCCCAGGTCTAACTCTCCAGCAGAGCTGGGCTAAGTGGTGTCTTTGGGATGACTAGATCCCTTTGGATAAATATTCAGTCTTCCAAATCTCCACCCTTCCCCCATTCTCATTCCCAAGATGTGCCTGGGTATATTGGGGCTTACTATTTCTTTGGGACAAGAAGTAGCAGGGGGAGAGAGGGTGGGGGTCTCCTGACCTCATAATGGTCTTTGGCTAGTCTGCACTGGGGAGGGAGGAGGGTTATGGGTCTGAATTTGGGCCATGTTTGGTTGTCAACTGTTGAGGAATGGTCAACCTGATTCTGTCCTGGGCATTTGTCTGCTGAGTGGCACTGGAGCATGACTCCTGGCCGATCTGTCCTCTGAGCACAGGCAAGGACTCCAGAGAGAACAGCCAGGTTCCCTTGCTGAGCAAGTCTCACCTTCTCTCATCGGTGCCGCCGACCCCACTGAGGTGTGCTTGGGTAAGACCAGTCTCTAGTTTGGCAGACTGAATGTGAGTGGCCCCTGGCTGAAGGGTCCCTTGGCCCTGGTGGCAGCAACCTTCCTCAGCAAGAGCCCCAGCTAGAATCTCCGCTAAGTTCTAAATCCCCCTCAGGTTCTTATGGAAGCCTCTGGTTCCTTCCCACATCACAGGAGAACTGAAGACCTCCAGAGTGCAGACCCAGGCTCTCTCAAGCTAAGGCTGACAGAGTGGGAGTGGTTGGGGATGGGGAGGATGCCTGTGAGGGGGTCTCTTCCCAGAAGTCCAAAAGAGAATCAGGCAGAAGCCTCCTACCTTCCTCATCAGCTTTCTCCTCAACCTAGAGGGGTCCTGTGAGATGGCACTTGAGCTCAGAGGTGATGTCGGCACGGAGCTTCTCACCAGCCCCTCCCTCTGCTTCTCTCTCTCCTTGTCCTCCACCCACAGTCCCTTGAGGTGGAGAAGGCCAACTTGATTCTTCTTCGTTTCTGGACGTCCACACGTCATGTCTTCCTCCCACAGGTATTTGCCCTTGTGGTTCAGCCCCAAAAGCAACCTATACACAAATTAACTACAATACGAGGTGGAAAGTGGTAAAAGTCAAGAGCGGTACTGGGAAGGGACAGGTACTGGGAAGTTCCAAGGGGTGGACCCCACCCCCAGCACAGAGAAGCAATCAGTCGAACGAGTAGATGAGGTCAGGGTAGACTAGGTCAGGGTCAGGCATTTGGATGGCATGTGGGGGACATGATGGGGACCAGGGGAAGATAAGGCTGGGGCCAGATCACAAGAGGCTTTGAATGTGGATCCCAGGAACTTGATTTGGGGGTCCCTTGAGGAGGTCACCATTGACAGACACATTTTCTCAACCAGGTATGACTGGAGCCAGGCTTTGAGAAGGTGAGACGGTGACAGAGTGAGTAGGATGGAGCTGAGACTAATAGCACAGTCCAGACCAAGCATAGGATGAGGGGAGTAGATGGTAAAGAGAGGTGAAGGATATGAAACAGACAGTAAGGGCTCTGGGCAACCAGGTGGGTCCAGGCTGCTCTTCACAGACTTACCTCATTGCTGTGACCAGTCTTATCTCTCAGGCATGGGCCTAGCAGGAGCCATCTGGGCAGTGTAGCCCCCAGTAAGTGTTCCAGGAGCTGGCATTAAAGCCAGGACAGAAAGGTCCTCTGCACAGTCCAGATAAGCAGTTTCTGGAAGAAGTCATGGGCAAGTTCAGGCAGGTACTGAAGGTTCAATGTCACTCGCTCACAGAAGACACCTATCTCTTACATTCCATGTGCCAGAAATCAAAGTTGGGCGTGGAGCACCTGGGTGACTCAGTCCGTTGAGCATATGACTCTCAATTTTGGCTCAGGTCATGATCTCATGATGGTGGGAGTTGAGCTCCACAGTGGGTAGTGGAAGCTGCTTGGGATTCTCTGTCTCTCTCTTTCTCTCTCCCTCAAAAACAAACAAACATACAAACATAAAGGGCAGGAAAGGAAGTAGGGAGGTGGAGACATACGTTTATTGAGCACTCCCTCTAATCTTCAGGTACTATTTGCAGATTAAAAAACTGAGGCTCAGATGTGTTGAGCAATTTTCTCAAGGTCAAAAAGCTAGCAAATGACAGTGTAAGATTGTGCACCCAAGTCTTTCTGACCAAATCCGCAGAGTATACTGTCTTCTCTAAAGCACACTTCTCACCTCCTGACCTCCAACTTTCTCCTCCTGCATCTCCTGATGGGAAGCTGTCTGCCGTGCAAGAGCAAACTAAAATTGTCTCCTACTGGAAGACCCCATAAAAGCACAGTATCAGCCTGCTCCCTGCAGACCCTGTGCCAGGATTTGGTTAGAAGTAGGGTCCCAATATTTGTGTCATAACCTGTTTTCTTACCTCCTCCTTACTTTTTTCTTACCTTGTTTTTTAAAGGAAAGAGGGAGAACATGTATGGGGCTTGGAAAAAAACAGTGGCGGGAAGGCAACTTGATAACTGATGATTTTCTGAGTGCTTCAGCCTGAAGGAAGCCAACAGCTGCAACATATTGGTTACATGGAAATCATTAAGTCATTCTGGGAAAGAATGACAAATGTGTGTGCCTGTGTATATATGGTAGACATGTGTTTACATATGGAGCAAGGCACCCACAGAGGGGATTGCTTCAATGCTCTCTCCAGGCCAAGAGAAGAAAAAAGAAATTCAATTAAAGCTCCATTGCAGGAGATGATTGTGAAAATCAAATTCTCATTCATTGTGAAGCTTGAACTTAAAACTTAGGGGGAAATCATCTATGCCTTGGCATCTAATCTGATAGGGACTCCCTTTCTCAAGAGGCAGCATGGTGGGGTAGAACCAGCCTGGACAGGGTGTGAGGAGCCCTTGGTTGTGACTTTTTTGTCACTAACTATGATGTGATGCTGAGGAAATTTCTCTTCCTGTTTGGGTCTCTGTTTCTCAAATATAAAGTGAGGGGGTTTGACAAGATTGTCTCTGATGTCACTTCCTGCTCTGACAGTCTGTCCAAATGTGCAATACATTTTTATAGCATAAGTTCTGAGATTAAGCTACTGCTTCTGAGAACAGAGCTGCCTCTCCTCCGCCACCCCCACCCAGATATGTGTTTCATTTAGTAAAACCAGATTTTTATATGAATCTTATTTGCCTAGTTGCATGTACCCATTTGCATACACAATTATGTTGTGCCCCAAAACTAACTCCCCAGGGTATAAGACGATTAAAGCAAAACAATTAGTTACTTCCAGCAAAGGGGCTTACATCCCAGACCTGGGTGCACAGAAAGGCTGAAGCATGTGATGACTCATGGGACAAAGAGCTAGCTTCTTCAGGCTTGGCTTCTGAACTAGTAGCACATGGCCCTGGAGGCATCTGAACCCACACGAGGTCTGTCCCTAGGCCATGGAAAGATCTGGCTATCTACGCTACTTTAAATGTGTGTTTTGGGGACTATGGGGAGGAGAGGATAGGAGCCAGTTGTTGGCCAGACCCAATTTGATCCCCTTGACCTTGAAGATACAATTTTTATCTCTGTCTTAAAGTAACTGGCAGAGGCTGGACTCAAACCAGTTCTCCTACATTCCAGTAAGTACACTCTTAACCATAACACTCTAATGCAGGATCTCTCAACCTTGGCATCATTTATATTCTAGACTAAATAACTCTTTGTTGTGGGGTGTTATGGGCTCAATGTTTGTGTTTCATATGTTTTAGATTCATATGTTGAAGCCCTAACCTCCAATATTATGGTATTTAGACATGGTATTTGAGATATCTTATGAGATAATTAGGTTTAGTTATATCAAGAGGTTGGGATTAGTAACCTTATAAGCGGAGGAAGAGAGAGATTTCTCTCTCTGTTCACACTCACACGTGGGAAAGGCCACATGAACACACAGCAAGAAGGCATCTATCTACAAAGCAAGAAGAAGGCTTTCACCAAGAACTGAATCTGCCAGCACCTTGATCTTGGACTTGCCAGACTGCAGAACTGTGAAAAATAATAGTCTGCTGCTTAAACCACCCAGTCTATGGTATTTTGTTATAGTAGCCACAACTGACCAGGACAGAGGACTGTCCTGTGCATTGTAGAGTGTTTAGAAGCATCCTTGGCATTTACCCATTAAATGCTGGTATCAATCTCCCCAGTAGTGACAACCAAAAATATATCTGGATATTGCTAAATATCTGCTGAAGGGGAAAGTTGTCTCAGGATGAGAACCACTTGTAATGTCAGCCCATGGTAGGAGGAGAAAATGGCAGCCACGAGGCCCCAGACAGCACCATGCTCAAATTCAAGTCTAAGGAATGAGTCCAGAGATGGACTTGGGTGTGGTATCAGTAGCAGTTAGGAAAGCATTGACCAGGTCTGGTACGGGCAGGCAGGTCCATAACTTCAGATATGAACAAACTAAGATATCCAGAGCATTTCCTTGTGATAAGGTATTAAGAATGACTGAGTTGATGGAGCAGCTGTCTGGCTCAGCATGCAGCTCTTGATCATGGGGTCATGAGTTCAAGTCACACATTGGGCACGGGGCTCCTTAAAACACACAATACACACACACAAAGAATGGTTGAGTTGGCATACATCTGTGCAGGCACTGTTCAAAGCCCTTTCATTCATTCACTAAGAACCATGTGTCAAAGGCCTGCACAGTTGCAAACACTGAACTGGCCTTGGGAAGCCAAGATAAATGAGCAGTGCCTTCCAGAAGCCTGCATTCTATAGAGAGAGAAAGGAATGTTAATAATAGCATTGGTAATAACAACCTTACTTAGATGTCAGATGAAGATCTCCTGATCCTTTAGGATCTAAGGAAAATTCCTTGGCCTCCCTGGGATTTTTGCTAATCTCTGGTGGGCTCATCTTCTCTAATACCCACAGTCTTTGGGACACTGGCAACCTCGGAGCCATCATCCCACAGCAGGTCAACTGTAACATCAAGTTCAGCAGCTTCTCCTGCTCCCACCACAAACAACAGTCTCTTCTACTGGGCGTGGTGTGTTTAACAGGTGCACTGATGACCTTAATTGGGTCCCAGGAAGGGGTCTCATCTCATGACACACAGTCTCCTTCCATCTTGTTGGTTTTCCTTGCCCTCCCATCCTCAACTCCCTCCAGTTCACCAAATCCCCGATTTCTTCTCATCTTGCTGTGAAGGGCATTCCCTGCCACCCATGAGGCCTTGGTTTCAGCTGACGCCAGCCCCTGAGGTGGTTCACCTTCCATCCCAACCACTCACTGAAGTATTTTCTCCCCAAAAACTTCCCTCCCTAAGGAGAGCTATGGAAGCAGCTGGTAGAAGGTAATAAGTAAATTCATATCAATGTAGTAGGACTTGGTATTAATAAGAATATTTTGGGAGCTCTCCCTAATGTTAGGCAATGAGCTAAGTGCTTGACATGCGTTATCTCATTTAATAATAGAATCAGATCATTACAAGGCTATGCAGTAAACACGCGGCATAGTAATTCAGACCCTACCCTCTAGCGTTCAAATCTCAGTCTCTCAACAGCTGCACGAGCTTCGGTTTTTCACTTCACTGCTCTGTTCCTTTTTCTTCTTCATTTGTAAAATGAGGATAAGAGGAATATCTCCTGTTCCTATTAGGGTTGTAGTGGAGCCTGAGATAGTAAACAAAGGTGTAAAGTGCTGAGAGCAGTGGACAGTGTCTGGCACTTAGTACGTGTTCTGTAAATGGCTGTGATTTAATCACTGAAGAATGAGAGAGGGATTTGGGACTGAGTCGGCCTATCACAGGGACAGATCTCATGGCAGAGGGACTAGGGAAGAGTTCTAAAGCATAAGCTAGAGCTTGCCCTCAGGAACATGTGATGCCCAGAATTTTATGAAATCAAGCCCTGCTGGCTGTGCCTTCTCGACCTGGTCAGCTTTCCCTCTTGGCTTTCCCCATCAATTTCTCATTCCCACAGGGCTCCGTGAGACACTTGGGAAAATATTTTCCAAAATAAATTTCAGTCATTATTTGACCCAAACCACCCCACTCTGCGACCCAGCCCTGTCTACTAATGTTACCACCCTGTCCCTATTTAGACTGAGGTTTTATAACCGCCCAGCCCTTCAGCATGGCTTCCCTGTCCTGCCACCTCCTGCCTGAGTCATCCTGTGATGTCACAGTCCTAGATTTATGATGTTGGCCAACGTGGTCTCAGGGATGACTATAGATGGGACCAGCCTTAGCCCAGGCTGTGAAACCAGTCACATTGTGTTCCACCTCTCACCATCCCAGTCTTCCATGATGTAGTGGAAAGAGCACATTCTGGGAGTCATGGTTGCCTCCAAATTCTGCTCTTTCCTCTGCACAACCGTGGACCAGGAGGGCTTTCTCCAAGCCTGTTTCCTCAGCTTTCTCCAAGTCTTAGTAAGTGCGGGTTTATGAGGATCAAATTAAACAACCAAGAAAAAGCTCCCATGCAGGTGCTTAGTAGGGGTCACCAACACCAACACAATTATCATGCATTAAAAGTCACCCCATGGACGTGTGGGTAGCTCAGTCAGTTAAGCATCTGACTCTTAATTTCAGCTTAAGTCATGATCTCAAGGTTGTGAGATCAAGCCCTGCATCAGGCTCAGCACTGGGGGTGCAGTCTACTTAAGATTCTTTCTCCCTCTCTCATTTCCTGTCCCCCACTAGCACATGCTCATTCATGCATGCACTTTCTCTCTCAAAAAATAAAAATTAATAGAAAATAAAAAATAAAAGCCACCCTCAAAACTCAGTGGCTAAAAAGCAACCATTAAGTGGAAATTAGCTGATGCAGACCAGGCCTAACAGGGTTTGGCTCCACAGGGAGTAGCAAGCTAGCCGGGCAGTCCTCAGCTGTCCTGTCTCCTAGACATAACTCCATCTAAGCACACAAGCGTATGTTACCCCACCATTTGCCTCATGCCAGCTAGTGTTCCATTGGCCAAAGCAAGTCACATGGCCATGCCCAAAATTAAGGGCAGGGGACGTGTACATCCTCCTATAGTGGAGGAAACTACAAAGGCACGGCAAAAGATATTGATACAGAGAGGGGTGAAGAATTCCTAACAACAATGCAATCACCTCACTGACAATATATGGTCAGGAAATATTAGTTTCCTTATTTCCCACTCTCTTCCACACCCAAAGCCTCTTTGTTTCACTGGGCGGGGGGGGGGGGGGGGGGGGGGCAGGGAACAAAACAGGTGAAGGAGACTGAACCATACAAGCATCCAGTTATAAAATAAGTCACACAGAAAAGTATAGCATAGGCAATATAGGCAACAGTATTGTAATCATGTTACGTGACTACACTTACTGTAGTAAATACTATGTAATGTATAGAATTGTCCAATCACTATGTTTCACACCCAAAACTAATACAACACTGTATGTCAACTATACTTCATTTTTAAAAAAAGATTTTAGGGGCACCTGGGTGGCTCAGTTGGTTAAGCTTCTGACTTTGGCTCAGGTCATGATCTCACAGCTCATGAGTTTGAGCCCCAGGTCAGGCTCTGTGCTAACAGTACAGAGCCTGGAGGCTGCTTTGGAGTCTGTGTCTCCCTCTCTCTCTCTGCTCCTTCCCTGCTCTCTCTCTCTCTCAAAAATAAATAAACATTTTTTAAAAAGGTTTAAAAAAACTCATCATGAGGAAAGAATGTAAAATTCGCACTCATCATGTAAGTAACCAATAAAGGCTGGATAGCACCTCAGTGTTTGAAGGTGCTTTTCCTTTTTAAAATTTTTAAATTTATTTTGAGAGAGATAGAGCACAAATAGGAGAGGGGAAGAGAGAGAGAGTGAGAGAGAGAATCCCAAGCAGACTCTGATGTGCCAGCCCAGAGCCCAACATGGGGCTCGAATCCATGAAGCCATGAGATCATGACCTGAGCCAAAACCAAGAGTCAGACGCCTAACCAACTAAGCCACCCAGGGCCCGCCCCAAAGGTGCATTTTTAACAACAACAACTAGAATCATAATTGCTCACCTTAGTACTTAGTGCAGCCAGCTCTGTGTTCCGTCTCTGCTCCGTGTGTATTATATCATTTGATCCTTGCAGTGACCCTATGGGGTAGTACATTCTATTTTATAGCTAAAGAAACCAAAGCCTTGAGAAGTTAATCAAACTTCCCAAGCTCATGCTCCAAAGAGGTTCTTACAAAGTTAAGTCTCAAGTGCATGTATGTTGCACCAATGCTATGTTCTTTCCATTATACCCTTGAGGGCAGAGTTCTGACTAGAGACAGCTTCTGGATGTTCCCAAACTTCAATCAACCTGTGAAATTTTTGCCATGTTTATTAACTTTCTATAACTATAAATCATGCAGTTATTGGTTCGTCTTTCAATCTGATCCATTTTAACTTAAATGTATTTTAAAAGAAAGTCTATATGACTACCATACGTGGAAAACCAAAGCCATAAACAAAAGAAGATAACCACAAAAAGGTTTACAAAAACAAAGCAACATTAGGAAATTCATGCTAGAGACCCTTGTCTCCTATGAGCTCCATGGGCAAGTAAGAAGTTGGCAGGTGTAGGAGGTGATAAAGGGCACCAAGCTGAGACTCTCTTTAATGGGATCTGAAAGCTAGACAGTTACTTTGAAAGGGAGCAACCCTCTCGTGATGTGTTCCAGTCTATTAGTTACTATATCCATGCATCACCGATATCCTTTCAGGGGCTACCAGGAACTCCAGCTCAGCTTCAGATGCCTGCAACCTTTAAGGAAGAGCCCTCAGCAGGTTCATAAAAAGACCACCAAGCAACCTTCTCAGGGGTCCTTTGAACCCTCTCCTGCTGACGTTGGATTTGGTCTCCATAGACCTGGAGAAGGGGCATTCTTGATGCTGTCTTCCAAAGGCAAAGGCCAGTTTCCTCATTACATTGAGAATAAGTGGAAGAGAGAAAACTCAGACAGACAAACCAGTGACCAGACCAGCTGCAAGCCTGTATCAGTCACAGGGCTATTCATACCTGAACTGATTCAAGTCCAGGAGGGGTCCACTTGGTTGCCCAGCCACACAAGGCAAGGACTTCAGGGAAGTTAGCCCTTGTCTTCCACCCTGATAGCTTCTTACTGTCTGTGCAGAACTATTCACCAAAAATCCCTCCCAAAAGCCCAGTAGGTCTCCACTCACACCACCTGCTCCACCTGAAATATCCACCATTAGGACGTCTCTGAAATAGAACCACAAAGGGAAAGGGACAGAGTTATGTGCTGTCCCCGTTTTCCCCCAGTATCCACCTCCATTCTTCACACCACATCTTTTTCCTCTAACTCTGCTCACAAAAGCAGTCCCATCAGAAGTGCCTCAACCTTTCACTCAAAGCCGGGAAAACTTTACCCAGAGTTTGCAGAGCCTGGGGGAGCCCTTCTCAAGGTCTTCCTGCTTTTGTAGCTCTGCATCTGCAACCGTCCTGGAGCACCTCTTATAATACATTGTGCTCTCTCTTTATTCATCTATTATCCCAAAACCATCTAGTGCATGGAAGTACTCGAGAAATGTTTAAAACTCAGATGTAAACCTTTGTTAAAACTGCCAACACTAAGCAAGCATGTGAGTAGGAGTCTTTTCTCCACCATCCCAGGATGACTCAGAGGTAAAGAAAGGGAACTGGATCTTTCTAGGGTTCAACTTATTTTCTGTTTTCTCTTTCAAGCCCTGGCATGGGCAAAACCCAGTCTATTTGGGGTTCCCTCCCGTTCTCCTAGAGTTGTGCCAAAGTTTGGAGCTACAATTAGTTCCAAGTATTGGGAGGGAATAGTCTATGTCAGTGTCATTGGTCCAACTGGAATCCACTGGGATGTCCTCACCTTGTGGTCCTGAGGTGACAGTCCACACAGTCTGAACCCAATCAATTCCATTCCTGTGGTCCCTTTTCAGGTCTCTCTGCTGCTTCTGTATCCCTCCTGGATGCACAGGAATCTTTCTGCTCTTCTAGATCTCTAATTAGGCACCAGAAATTCTGCTGGAGTCTCCATCCACGTAGACATTTCATGCAACCATCTCTTCTCTAGAGCCTTGCGGCCTCCCCAGCGATACCGTTCTGCCAGGAAAGAGTGTACAGCTCTCTCTGCACCTAAATCCCACAAAACGTCCTTGGGATTTGCCACCTGCCCCAGGGCCCGTGCTCTGGAAATAGGGTCCAGCTCCTTATTCTCTCCCCACAAAAATATCCACATTTATGGTTTTACCTCTTCACCTCACCTTTGCCCCAGATAGGTGGACTCTTTCTCATCTCAGAGGTGAAATTATTTGCTCTCACTCACCCTATTTCTCCAGAATCTACGGCCTACTATGCCAAGAGTGGTTTGGGTTTTCCTGAGGACTTAAGCTTTTGAAACTTAAAGGCCAGGAGACACTTCCTTTCCTCTGTTTTTTACCATCACATCCCTTTCCTGAGGCAGTGACCACAGAACAGACAAATGTCTCAAATCAGAGAGGATCTCAAGAGCAAAAGGACAAACCAGAGCAAAGGGAAAAAAAAAAAAAACAGTTAATCTTTCAGAACTATCATCCAGCCTCACAAACATTAAACAAACATGAAAGTGCATGTTACTTTTAGAGCAAATACTTTATAGCAGCCAAGTTTAAGACACAAGGAGGCATTTTTCTGCTTTTCCTAGACCCTTTGCTCTTTTTTGACTATTCCTTGGTTTTAGGAAGGATCCTGGGTCCCTTGTATTTGATGTTTAATTTCTTTTTTTTAATGTTTTTTTTTTTTTT